CCTTAGAAGTCCTCTTGATTCGTCGTTCCACATGTTTGATTGTTTCAGAGTAGAAGATAGACGATAGACAAATTTATGATTGAATTGGTAGACGACCAACTTGAGTGCGCCTATCTTATATTTGCAAAAGAAACTGAGTGAGGCATATGATATATCTTCGTTCCCGAGAGTCTTTGTCATTCTGAAATAACTGAGCTAATCGTTGAGGTATGTTCTCGTGATCATTTGAATTCTTCGTGACTTGATTGGTTAGTTTGAGATTAGACTTGTTTGAACCATTGTCCTTGCTCGTTTATTTGTTTTCTTTTGTCTTCTATTTGTTCGGGACGAACAAAGGTCTTAGTGTGGGGGAGTTGTTTGTCCCATTTTTGTTATCTTTTTCTTTGTTTATTTGTTAGTATTTTTCCCCGAGTTTAGGTTTTTATTAGTCTGTTTGGTCCTTCTGTCATTCTTTTCGCTTGTTAGTCGTTCATTTATCGTTTTCGATATTTTCTTCTCTTTTTGCTCGTTTTTCGGATGTTGATCTTCTATCTTAGGTGGTGTGCAAATCAGGTTTTACATCTCACATGTGGAGCTATTTGAGCAATCGAGCATTAAGCGGAATTTCAGGCGGAATTTCAGTCACGAGTGCCAGTTTTCGCGACGTCTCCCGCGCCGCGACGTCTCCCGCGCCGCGACATAAACCTTCACGAGTCCCCCGCGCCGCGACGTCGACTTCAGGGAGCTCGATTCCAGGTGCCGCGCCGTGTGCCTCCCTCGCGCCGCGGAGCAGGTGCCCTTCGCGCCGTGTGTCTCCCTCGCGCCGCGGAGCAGGAGCTCTTCGCGCCGTGCGCCCTCCCTCGCGCCGCGGAGCAGGAGTCCATCACGCCGTGATGGCTCTTCGCGGCGCGGTGCGTTATTTTAAAACCAGATCGACTATTTTATGCGGGGGCGATAGGGTTAAAAATTCATTCCGTACTCTGTATTTTCAAAACTCTTTTCTGGAGAAAAACACACTTTTCCTTTGGCTTTAGTTTTGGATTGGATTTTGGAGCATTAAAACTCTTTTTCTAGCTTGGGATTTGGATTGCTCTTGTTTTCGACATTGGTCTTCTTAACAATCGTAAGCATCTTTTCTCGTTTAATTATGGTGTTTTGTGCTTGGATTGTTGTGAGTTCTTATGTTCAAATTACTATGAGTAGCTAAATCTTTTGTTGGGGATAGGAGATATTCGTATTGGTTCGTTAGTGATTCATGTATGTTTGCTTACCATTCAATCTATTCGAGTTGTCCTTAATCTAGG